AGAGAATGAATTTCCCTGGAATTGGAAGTCTGATTGCAAATAACTGGGCTTACCATTTCTTGTACTGGTGCTTGCTCCTGCCTGTCTTTAACAGAAGGATTGCTCTGCCATTGTTAGCGTCTGTTAAAGCTTCGTTCCTTGCTGCAAAGAATCTTACCCTCTATTTCTTTAGATGAGGTAAATGCTAAAGACACAGCCCTAAGCAAGCTATTTCCTCTAATCAGCTGGCAATCTAGCAGTAAGGTGAAAAGTCAGATTGGTGTCTAATGCTGTTTCAGAGCAAAAATAGTAGTGCAATCTTTTTAGACATTTCATTAACCATAAATTTGAAAAAAGAAAAAGAAAAAAGGAGCAGTCATTTGACTACCTCTCTGATGCCCCCCCCATTAATCTTTATATTAATTTATTTTGTTCTATATTCTATCCTTAGTTGCAGCTGAGAACAGAAAAGATCCTGTGGGCCCCTGAAAACGAACCAGATTAAAATTCATTGCATTCATATTCATATTTTTTCTAAGCAAGTCTTAAAAATACAGGGTTGGATCCTAACTAAGCTGAGCGTGGGTGCCATTGAAATTAACGCAAAAAATTATCTCACTTGTAAGTAACCCAAGTGTAACCCAAGTTCAACTCAGGATGTAATCCTAGCTAGTCAAGATGGCTGGCAAGGTCTCTTCAGACTGAAGAAGCTACTTGGATGAGTAGTGAATATTTTCAGCTTAACAAGAAAGAAGTCCACTTGTCATGATTCAACTTGCAGTTAATGAAGTTTTGTTTTTCTTGCAGGAAATTTATTTCTGATGAACTTGCTTACAGCAATAATATACAATCAGTTTCGTGGGTATCTCCTGGTGAGTAAAAGCTAGCAAATGTTCTAGCATGCTTGTGGATATCAATGTAGTCAGTGTGTTTAAGGGCTGAGGGGTACCACTTGTCTGTTATCCCGTTGGCCTTCCAGGTTAATTAAATCAGCCAGCACAGGATTGGCCATATGGCTATGGAAACTAATGCATGCAATTTTACAGAAGGGAAGTTCCCACCTTGCAAAGGAGGTGGCAGAGACCTTTCTGTAAAAAAACCAACCTTCCATTTTCCCAGCAGATTTGCAAAGCTGTATATTAGTCTCAGTCATATCTTTTTTCTACTCAGGTGACTGAAAATGTTGTGGCCCTTCAATTCTAGATGCATTTGGAAGATACTGGTTATGTATCGGGGGGTTTGGCCAAGATATGGGGCAGAGATGACTTTGGTTGCCTTAGTGGATGATTTATTTGAGGACTTAGATGGGGAGGCAGTGATTAATTCTCTCTGTAGACTTGGTGGCTCTTGGCCACAGTATCCTTCTAGACTTCTTGGTGTGGTTGGTCATTGGGAGTGTTTTATTGCAGTTGTTCTGATCTTGTCATCTTGAGTGCAGAAGATGGTTTTGAGGGACAACTGTGTTTGCCTGGTGTTCTGCTCTAGATTTTGGCCTGTATTCCACAAGAAACCAGCTGGGAGAGGTCATCTAGAGCAGTGGTTCTTAACCCTTGTTACTCGGATGTTTTTGAACTGCAACTCCCAGAAACCCCAGCCAGCACAGTTGGTGGTGAAGGCTTCTGGGAGTTGCAGTCCAAAACTCCTGAGTAACCCAAGGTTAAGAACCAGTGATCTAGAGCTTTGGAGATTAGTGGAGCCAGATTTATCAATATGCTGTTGTTAGTTGTCTAAGGTCTGGATAATCTCTCATAGCAGTGTATTCTCGAAGGCAAGTATACTTGTTGTGGAAGGTGTTGATCATAACCCTTGCTGAGAGTGATGGCTGAGAGCAAGTGTCCCAGGAGTACTGATTATTAAAGTACAGTAATCTTTGTTTAGAAATCAGAAGTGCCTCTAACACCTGGCTTTGGAATAGCTGTCTATTTGTCTGCAATGGGAGAATCAAGGCTTTCTGTCAGCATGGCTAAGGACACTACCTATGCTTTTTTGTGTCATGGGTCCAAAGTGTGGCATTTGTCAGCAACAAATAAGTGGCTATGAATGTCTTTTCATAATAGAATCTCCAAGTGTGGCTTTGAAGGATGCCTATGATGAACATTTCTTACTGCACACTCCAGTATAAAATATTCTTTATGGTTCTGTTTTTTATATGGGGAGCCTTTGTACTACAGTATGTCTTTTTCATGGATATTTTTTCTTTGTCTTCAGAAATCTGTTCAGTCCTCACTTTTCCGGAGACGCTTAGGGATTCGAGCTGCATTTGAAGTTCTTTGCTATATGAAAGAGACATCTATGAATAAAAATATGTAAGTAGAAGACACCTTAAATAGCTCTTGTTCTATCACTATTCTGTAGGTCACATAATTGTGGTGAAGGAAGAACAGGCAGAAGGCAAACAGTTCTTACTCATGTATTCTGCTTTTGTTTACATAGCTTGCGTGTCCAGTCTGAGACCTTAGTTCAAGTACTCCAGAAAGTAAAAATGGACCCCTGTTGCAAAGAAACAATCATTGGGGTAGGAATCATACATAGATGTTGCCTTTAGCTGTATTGTCTTGACTGATACATGAAATGTTTGCATTAACTCCACGTATCTGTTCTTTACACAGAAACTTGAGTCGTATCCTCCTGGAGGGTTATCAGCTGCTCAGTTTCAGATACTTTTTGATGAGCTTGACAAACATAAAGTTAAAGAGGTCTGTACCTAGTTATTATTCAAGTAGCACTTATATGTGTGTGAGTGGTAGATAAGTCAGCCTGTGCCAGCACAGAGTTGTATGATCAATGTGCAGTAGAAGCAAGTCTGAAGTTTGTTTGACACCCCCTTTCCTCACCTGAGATATGTAGAACCCACTTTCTTTCTAAACCATAGCTAAATCATGTTGTCAGGGTAATCTGATGTATGTAAAAAACACAGATGTGCCTTGGTTGAAGTGACATTATCTATAAGGCTCACACTTCCCTCCCCCTCAATGCTTCAGTTCATGTATTTCTGAAAAGGTAACGAGGGCCACATTTTGCCCAGGTCTGCCCTAACCCTAGCCCTTTAACCTGTCAAAATGCTGATACTCTCATCTACTCCATTGGTTAGGTCAGATAGGCTGATGAGAACCCTGATGTAAAGAAAACAGGAATTTACAATAACACAGAAGATTATTTGATTGCGTCCCCACCTTTTTCCCCTCTCTTCACTGCATGTTGCAAAATTAATCTTGTCACCTATTGTGAATATTCATAACTACTTATCATAATAAGGGTGAACGCTACATCTATAAATATACGAGCTCTAGTTATGGTGATGCCTAACTGAGAGTTATTCAAGTAGGCATTGTTAATGACCTGTAGCATAGGTAAAGTTCACAGGAATACTTACAATATTTCTCTGTTACATTATGTAATTTTGTTCGTTTATAATAAAGTTGGTTTTCAGTTTCTGTTCCTTCCTGTGTTTCCTGGATATCAAGTTTATTTTGAATTTAGTTTTCTGTTCCTTTTTTTTTAAGTACTGAACCAGAGCACATAAAACAAATTTGGCTTTGCTCTTTTAAATTGTTTTAAATGCCAGGAAACTGCTACCCCAAAATGTTTGGAAGAATGTTATATAATTATGGCTTCAGCAAAAAATTAAAAATAGAATATTGTTGTCACTTATCCTAAGGAGGGTTGGGTGGTATCTATCATATGTTTTGGATTATAATTTTGATAAGTCCCTGCAAGGATAGTCAAAGATCAGTAGAAGAAAGAATTGCAATCCCAAACATTGTACAGGCTCTAGGATGTCTACCATTAGTCTAGGGAGATTTTGAAACCATTCCAGATATTTTGGCAGTTGTTTAACGACTAACAATACTGCATATTGTTGTACATCAAAGCCTATTTTTCATACTTTGGAGAAAAACACAAGTTTATGCTCCAATAATATTGTAATCTGGTGCTTTCCATATGCATTGGACTACAGTTGCTGTCATCCCCAGTTAACACAGCCAAAGGAGATGCTCTCTGGGGTCAAAGGGATTTGTAGTGCCTGGAGAATGCCAGGTTGGCAAAGGCTGGGATATTGTCACTAGAACAATGTATTTCTGCTCTCAAAACATTGTCAGTGACAGATGAACTTTATAGGGACTGCATTGGCTCTGCCCAGTCTATCCCAGAATGCCCCATGGAAACATGGAAAATTTGAAGAGAGAAGTTGTGACTCTATTCAGGGTTTTGAATGCTCAAAACTGTTCCTAATGGTTGTAATTAGTGGTGCGATCCTGCTAAATTAGTCTAAAAAGAGACTATATGTTTGCACAGAACTGTAATGTTGCTATGGTGTTGCCTCAGTGATGCTTATTCTAAGTTAATATTCTTGTGTCCTCCATTGGAGAGCTATCTTGTTAAAGACATTGTGAAGCAAGAGGTTGTGTTGACAGGGCATTTATCTGTGTTCTTTTTAGAGGCCTCCCATGCCAGATTATCAGTCGCCTTTTCTACAGAGAGTTCAGCTTCTCTTCAGTCATCGTTACTTTGGGTATTTAGGAAATGCTGTGGCTCTAGCAAACATTTTCTCTGTATGTGTAAGTATGCAATATTTCAATACCTTTATGAAGAATATCAATACAGTTACTGGTATTGCAGTCTGTCCTGTGATTTTGTGGCAGATAGCAATATTGACTGTTCTTATAAGAACATGAACAGGCTGTGGGATTTAAGAAAGGTTTCAGCATCCACCTTTGTTTAAGCACACAACATAGGGGAGTATCACCAAATTATATAGTGATTCTGCAACATTACCAACCAGTTTTTGTTTAATGTGCTGGTTTATTTTATCCAATCTTGAGAGCTAGCATCTTGTTATTGTTAGAATATGGTTTGGGAGATCCAGATTCAGGTTCCCACTGAGCTGTAAAACTCCCTGGGTGGCTTTGGACCAATTGATATCTCTCTCACCCTGACCTATCCCACAGCATTGTTGTCAGGATAAAATGGAATGGAGGACAGTTGTGTATGCCACTTGGAGCATGTTTGAGGAAAAGTGGTGTAGTAATTTTAAAAACCAACTTCTCCACTTTCCCCTTGCAAAGGAAAATTCCCCTTCCTGATTTTATCCTCACACCTCTGTGAGGTAGGTTAGGCTGAGGGTGTATGATTGAACTAAGTGTCTCCAAAGAAACTTCTTGGCTGAAGTAGGATTTGAATCTTGATCCCCTTAATCTTCATTCGATACCAAGGTTTTGCCGCAGATAGTTTCTTATGTTCTTGTTTGGAGATGCCTGTGATGATAGCTGTGACTCAGTCAGAGAAGCGTTTGAGTGCTCTGAGATTTTTCCTGTTTTCTGCAAGAGCGGGGGACACTGCCTAGGTAGGCAATGGCATGTTTTGATCTCTGTGTGTAGCCTGTGACATACTTGGAATATTTGACTGCTATCAATTAAAAAGCAGTCACTTGGCAATACCTATCCATTCAGTTGAACAGCATGCAGCCCTCCAGCTGTTGTTGGGCAGCAATGCCCTTTCACACCAATAGTGGTGAGAGATCATAGGAAGTGCATTTCTTAACAGCATCTGGTAGGCCACATTTTTCATATCTGCATCCCATGAGTACAACACCCACACGTTACGTTGGCTTGTAAATCCAGTGGTATGCTGATTTTTCTCTGCTTCTTTTATGTGGCAGGTATGTATTGAAAACACTGTTGATTTTTCTTGCTTTTGTAATAATGTATTTTAAAATTAAAGCATCTTGGCCATTCTGTTTCCTCTCCAAAAGGTGGTCATGGTACTAGATGCTGACAAACCACCTGTTGAACGAGATGACTTTTTCTTAGGGGTAAGACATTCCATTCTCTATACAGAATTTTTCTCTGAGTGTTTTTCTTTACAAGCATACTTCTTAATTACATCTTTATTTTAATTTTTTTTCAAGGTTATAAACTGTGTCTTCATGTTCTACTATCTCATGGAAATGTTGCTGAAAATATTAGCGTTGGGATTAAAAAGATACCTATCGTACCCAAGCAACATCTTTGATGGACTTCTAACTGTGGTTCTGATGGTGAGCGTTGCTTGAACAATTTCTATTCTGCCCGTGGGCAACAAATACGGCACTTTGTGACACCCTGTTACCTTGAGTATACAAGATAAGAGTAGGGTAACAGCCTGTACAAATGTCACAGTTTCTAAAAGATATGCTGAAACCCCTAATGTATTCCCTCTATTAATTGCAAGGCTGTATAGCTGGAACTGTTGAAATGTGGCTGCAACTCCCAGATTTTCCTAGCCATCGCTAGCCGTGCTGCCGGGACAAGTCTGGGAGTTGTAGTCCAAAAAAGTAACTTCCGCAAGCTCTATATATGCCAAGTTGTTGTTTTTGAATCCACCAGAAACCGTTTAATATTCATGAAAATTATTTAGGTTTCCCTCCCTCCCTTCCCTCAAATGTCACATGAGTACTTTCGTGGCATATTTGTTTCTCATAACTTTGTTCCATCCAGTGTAGTATGAGTGGTTTCTCCTAGCTCTCTTTCTCCCTTTACTCTCCTGGTACACCCTAATCATTTCCAGAGGACCTGCAGCCACAGGGGAGCAGTAGTGGGGAGGGGAATCCATCCTGCCAGTGGCATCCATGCTGCTGATATACACACAAAGTTGGGTAAAACCCAATGTGTACGGAACGATTGCAGTTGCCATAGCTTCATCTCTTTCCTTCTTATAAAAGGTTTTGGAGGTGTCGACGTTTGCTGTGTATGGATTTCCTCGTCCTGGCTGGTATGTGTTAGTTCTAAGCATTTCTTGTAATCTAGAATTTAGATTGACTATCAGGGAAAAATTCTTAACTTTTAGAGCAGTTCAGCAGTTCTGTGCTCAGGAGGTGTTGAGCGCTCCCATGCTGGAGTCATTCAAGAAAAAAAATGGACAGCCATCTGCTTCGATTTGGATTCCTGCATTGAGGCGGGGGGTTGGACTCAATGACCTTCCAACTCAATTATTCTATGATTGTATCTATGATGGTGTATTTGTTTGTCTGTTGCTGAAACAGTGGGGTTTGCATGGGTGGGGAGAAAGGCTAGGAACTCACAAGCAGATGCTGTCACTTGCCTGGCTTTAAATCCACTGCTTTTTTTCAGTAGGTGGGAAGCTCTGCCATTTTCTTGTTTATAGCCGCTGTGAGCCGTGTCTCTTCTGCCTTAATGCCACCCTTTCAAATTACAGTCCAGGGCAAAGAGAGATGCATAAATGATGCCTGTTTCATGGCCTTGGGACTAAAAACAATTCGGGATATCCTTCCAAAGAGTAGGATAAATCTGCAATCCGGGGGCTTTCCATGATAGAATGTGTGCCATATATCTTTAAGTATGAATAAGAGATCATTTAAATATGAACAGGGTTAAGGGGTGGAGAACTGCCAGAAACACTGCATCTTGAGAACGGTTTCAAATGGGTGTGCTTTCTGCTAACTTAGTTTTTAGCACACTAAATCTTGAAACCATTGCATCAGAAGCATAGAGAGGAAAATCTGTCTGTGCAATCTTCTGTTTATAACAATAAAAAAATGGTCAGAATTCTATAGACATATTGGGCCCTTTTTAAGGAGAAAGGTGTGTGTGTGTGGGGGAGAGAGGATGTTGATTTAACTATGTGGTAAATTCTAACTAATTAATAAATTGCTGGTTGCATTCTTGCCCATGTGCCACTCACATGACTTGCCACACAAACAGGAATATGAGTGGCAACCTGTTAATTAGCAGCAATATGTTGCAGGTAATAATAATTGTGCCCTGTTGAGTCAGTTCTGATTCATAATGACCCTTTCTCAGGGTTCTCCAGGTAGACACCACTCAGAAGTGGTTTATCATTCCCTTTTCTGGGGGTGGCCTGGGATTGTGCAGCTTGCCCAAAGCTAAACAGGCTGGCTCTTCTACCAGGAGGCACAGTGGGGAATTGGACTCCCAACTTTTGGTTCCATAGCAATATAACCAACTGCTATCCAGCCAGCCTATGCTGCTGATACACTGTCATAAACTCGCTAAAGGTTCTGGCCTCTCATATGATACAGCAAATGGACTGCAGCTCCCCTTAATCACATGTGAAGGATCATGTCAGTTGCTATCCATCAGTATCTGGCAGTCGTTACCATTTCTGCTGCAAGACAGTGTAGCATTGTACTTACTTTGTTTGGTATTGGTGTGCGCACTTTGCATACCTAATGTTCATCTTGTCTAAAAGAGTGGAGATGTTCGTGCTTCCTTCTCGCTTCTCCCAGCCTTTGCTACAAGAGCCCCCTTGTCTTTTCTTAGGAGACCTGAAATGTTGGGCTTGCTGTCTCTGTGGGACATGGTCCGTCTAGCAAACATGCTGATTGTGTTCAGATTTTTGCGGATCATCCCTAACATCAAGGTATTTCTGTTTTGTTATGTGTAGATTTTAATTTGAGTTTGCTTCTATTTACCCTCCCCACTCCATTTCCTTTAAAGAAAGGAAAGAATACTGAAAGCACCAGTAGTTATTTTGTCTTTTTCCCCAGTTCATGTCTTCAGTTGCCAGTACACTCCTGGATCTGGTGAAAAACATAAGAAGCTTTGCAGGGATCTTAGTGGTAAGTGAAAACAAAAGAGCCTCTCCTTGAATATTCCATTTTGTGTTAAAATCTTTGTCAAATACTGTTGGCAGTATGTGTATTAGAACTCCAGTGAAATGGGCATGATAGATGGCTTTAATTTTTCCCGACTGGTCTTTTGTCATCTCTGACCCATTCATTCTTTGGTCTCGTGCCTTGTATCATTCTGTCCCATACTGAGCTCAGATGGTTGAGGATCTCTTAGTTTGGAAGTGAAGTAGAGCCATGCCCTCAGAAAAGGTAATTATCTCCACATCTTTAAGAGACTAACTGGTGCACAAAAGTATACCTTTTAAGAAAAACAAACTGTAAGGAAGGGAAGGAAAGCGGGGCTATTTCAACAGCTCTTTTTGGGAGATCAGCTCAGTCAGACAGCTCTTCTCTCTAAGCTGTTTCCACTCAGTCTGCTCCCAATAAGAACTGCTATAGAAATAAGAACTACTGCCCAAGGTTGTTTGTTTTCCTCTTCCCTCACCATCACCTTTTCCTTTAAGCCCAAAGAAGTTACATGATTATTTAATTTTAATTTTATTTATACATTAGAATATTTATAATCTCCCTTCTCTCTGGTTATCTCATGGCAGTGTATAATCAATAACAGAGCTTAAAACAATTTAAGGCATTTATAACAGTTTAAAAGTCCTTAAAACAATTTGTCAGTGTCCGCATCTTTTTAATCATACGTTAATCAGCCTGGGAGCTCTTTTTGTTAGAAGAGTGGGATAAAATATTTTGAATAAATAAATCTGCTACAGTGCAACCCTCCTGAGATTTAAGGATAGAGCAACAGGAAATTGTTCATCATTTTAGGACTATTCCAGTTTCAGAATTGGGAAACCAAGTCTCATGCCTATCTCCTCATTATTCCACTTTTTCTCTTTAATACTCTTATAATGGCTGGACTCTATTTAAAGAAAGATCCTGCTAATGCCCATCTACCTATATTTCCATGACTGATTTATTTTTGTATTAAGTCTCACTTGTTGCCTGCATTTCTCCCAATGAAGAGGACTCAAGGTGGCTCACAATGTTAAAACAAGTAAAATTAAAAACAATAAATTATACAATTAAAAAGCAGTTAAACTATAATAATAATAATTTAAAATACATTAACTGATTTTTTAAAAAAACATTTAAACCTTTGAAAACAGTTAGTCAATCTGAGCTTCCCATCTGAGGTTTTACGGAGACTAATAGACATTTCTCCAGTTACTTGTATCATGCATTCTGAAGGCAATGCAATGAAGCAGTTCTAGAATTCCTTTGCTTTGTTGAAGGACATGTAGTTATTTGCACACAGCCATTGCACACCACTCACTCCCTTCTTTATGTTAAGAAGAGCAATACAATTAAATACTATGGGAACAAATTTGAGTTATCCTAAAGTGTGAAGCTCCACCTCTTGGCAGATCTAGGAAGTGCAGTGTAAAGATAGTTCAGCATGATGAGAATAATCCTCTGTATAACACAAAAATAAGAGGAATCTTTTTACCTGAGGTTGTCCATGGGAGCAATAGTAAATATTAGATATTTTTCTAAACCAGAAATTGTAGAAATGTCTGTATAGCAAAAACATAGGAATAGATACTTTATCCAGAGCCACTGAAATGATCACTATTTCTAAAACAAGACCAGTAGATGAATAGTTATTGTGGACTGGTGTATGATTTTATAATGCAACTAAAGCATTATTACATTTTGTGTTTGGGGACTATTTTGTGTAAGAATAACTTAGATTTTCTGTGGCTTACAGTTTCTTGTACATGTAGGTCATCAATGAATAACATTTGGATATGTTATTCCTTGAAAATAAACACCCTTAAAATGGAAAAACAAAAGAAAACCCAAAGCGAAGTACTAACTGATATTAAAGAATCAGGGCACTGAGAATCCTATTGTGGTAGTGTAATTAGACGCAAAGCTTGGAAATGTTAATTTCCATGGTCAGTGGCTGAGGGACTTAGGAAGCAGTAGTTTTAAAAATTGATATTTTTCATGCACTGGAGAATGGAGGTAATGTCTCCATCTCTCTGTATGTACATGTTCTAAGACAGAATCCAGCTGGTAATTTACAGTTGTGTAAGTTAAATCACATAACATGTGGTGTCCAATTGCTGTTAATTAACAAGGTGCTGGTTGCATTCCTGGGCATGCGCCCAGTAGCTTGATCAGGTGCACACCTGTGAATGCAGACAACAATCTTGTTAATTAGGGGCAAGTTGCTGCCTCAAGTTACACAGCTCCAAGCATAATTTATCAACCAGATTCTGTCTAGCATGTGAGAGATACAATGGCTTTATAGTTTGTAATTAGAACTTAAAGAATATTTGGCCACTGTCATCACAGCATTATACTGTGAAGCAATTCAAACGTACTGGGAGAATACTAGGTACCATACTGTCTTTTCTTCCACTGTGTGACTTCAGGGTGCACATTGAGACATGGCTTAGAAACTGGTAGTGCCCCTTTCCAGATGTTGTTAAAGTCCAACTCACATCATGACTAGCCAGTCTGATCAGTGGTAGGTCATGACAGGATTCTGCCGTATCTAGAGGACTCCAAATTCCTCTCCCTTGCACTAAGGTGGGGGCATGTCTGTTCCTTAAGAAGGTTATACTTCACTTTAGCAGGGTTATGTTTTGCAATTTTGCTGCTTTTCCTGCTTCTCCAAATGATTTGAGATACAGAAATGAACTAAATCGTGTTTGTGAGGTTGACTATAGAAAAAGTATGGTTCGAGGGAATGATCTTGCATCAACACTGAATTGGCACGAAGAGGTAGCTGATCCCAATTTGTTGCTCCCCAGGTGGTGTTCTACACATTTGCAATAATTGGTATGGAGCTGTTTCGGGGCACCATTGCTCCCATGGGCGACATTGGGTAAGACAGCTGTTAAATATGGCATGGTCATTCTAACTTGGGCTTCAAAGATGGGTAGAGACTGTGATTGTCCTGTGTTCTATACCATGCTTTGTAGAGGACTATTGATTAGTAAGAATGCTATATATAGTTTTACACCTCTTGTTGTAACACCAGCCTGCTGTTCTCTGTTTTTGTATGTGTTCATCCTACGTCCTGTGCAGAGATGAGAAATGGCATGGTCAGTGACTGTAATCTGGTTGAGATTCCCCACACATTCCCCATCCACTTACACGTGATTGATTTTGTGGCTGGTGGCTCCTGATCTGTCCATTTCTATGATGGGAGCTGCCTCTTTTCTCCTTGCTTGTCAACATGTCTTGTCATTGCTGTCCATCTTTGCATCTTTCCAGCTTCTCTTATTGGAGGGGGAGAGATGGTGGACCACATTGACAACTGGTGATGGGAGGGCAGGAGGATGCAAGAATAACTTTCTTTGCTGCTTGTGCTAGGATTGTGTAATAGAGAGTAGGAGGAAACTGTTGGGGAAGGTCCTCTGTTCAAAAATTCAGGAGGGTTCAAAGACTAAGAATTGATCTTTTATCTGATATCTCCAAAAACATGATGTGATATAGTTCATCCTCCATCCTTTTCCTGAGCCGAGGAAGGATGATCTTTGATTTGGTGGCTGAAATCCTGTTGTTCCATTAGGCAAACAGCCTAACATTTGGAAATGAATTGTCGTAAGTTAAGAAATCTCCACAGACATTATCTATTGCATACTGAGTTGCACACTTTGACATGTGACAGATAAGGACTATGGAGATTTCTTATAGTAATTTGCTTCCAAAAGTCATGCTACAGTATTTGCATAACTGCACATAACTGGACAACAAGATTTCAACCGTTGTGTTTGTTCCTAGAGCTTTGTTTTATTGTTGGTCATTGGAAAGTCATCACAAACTTAATTTGCTAGTCTAATTTCTGAGGAAAACCCCATGTGGGAGAGAAGATGGGTTAATCATGGGGAATGTATATATTCATCTTGATGCCTACTTTGACCCTCTCCAGTTCTGTAGTGAGTTAGATTTTATGGTAGCTTGTTGCATGGTCAGTAAAAAGACTGAGTCATGCATTGGCATCATGGCTGCATCATGGTCAATAAAAAGCATGTGGGGTAAACACAGGCATTCTTTTCTTAATGGCTGAGTTTTACCAGAGGAACACACTGGAGTCTGGGTCTGAAATGGTTTCTGGCTAAAATTTAAGTCCTTTATAACGCATAGCAACATTCAACTTCAAAATGCCAGATGCAGAGGAGGGTTATCAGGAGACAGGTATCTAGTTGTCCCGTGTGCTCCCAGAGGCATCTGGTGAGGCCACTGAAAGATACAGGAAGCTGGACTAGATGGGCCCTTGGCCTGATCCAGCAGGGCTCTTCTTATGTACTTTAAAACTGTTGGTTCTTGCCATAATCTTAAATAACCAGATAATTTTTTGCTATTCCGCACAGTATCCCTTTAACTTGGAGCCTTCTTCTTGCCTATTATCTCTTACTTATTCTCTCTTTCGAGCATATGGCAGAGAAGATTTCTTTAGACTTCAAAGCTATTGTGATTTTCCCCTCTGTATTTGAAAATATCTTAAATAGAGCCTATGCCAAATGTACAGTTCCAATACACCACACAGTCCAGCATCACATGTTATGTTGAAACACATCTTTCTCTTCATAGTGTGGCGAATATGACAAAGAGTAATGTCACCTTCCTGTGTGGCACGTATGAACAACTGGAGTATTGGCCAAACAACTTCGACGACTTTGCTGTGAGTGTGTCCCTTTGGGATGCTTGTAGTTCCATCGTTTACCTCAGCCCTTTCCATGTCTCACCATTTTTTCTAAATATTTCAGATATAAAATACTCTCCACTACAACTATTTTTCTTGCTTATCTGTCAGGCAGCACTGGTGACTCTGTGGGATGTGATGGTTGTGAACAACTGGCAGGTCTTCTTGGAAGCGTATTCCAGATACTCATCTTCGTAAGTAGTCAGCTGAAGCTGTGCATTTGACAGGGATTCAGTCATCCCCCTTGAGCCAAGAATTCTTGAATTTTATCAGAGTTGGTCCAGAATCCAAAGAAAAGATTAGCAAGTTTGTCTGCTTCTACAGTATTCTTTGGTATGTTCATCCATATAGTTCTGGCTGGTTTGGGGACAATAAACCATCAGTGGCTTAGGTGTCTAGTTATGGAGCCTGGAGACTGGGAGTTTAATTTCCCACTGCGACTCCTTGGCAGGAGCTGGACTAATGATCCATAGGGCCCCTTCCAGCTCTGCAGTTTTAAGATGACGATAATTTGGATACAGGCTCTGCAGTTTTAAGATGATGATGATAATTTGGATACAAACATCACAGGCCATTCCTTCCTGTTTGTTTAGTGTCATCCACTTGGTCAGAGGGAAGGCTGGAAGGCTAAAGCATAAACAACATGTGCGTGAACACACTGCTGATTCATTGTTAGCTATGAGAAATGGGAGAATCTGGGTTTATTGTATTCTTATATGGCCAGTGAGGGAGGGGAAAGAGGAAGAAAGACAAAGTTGAGTATAACAATTAAGATGCTAAAAACTGCAATTTATTAGGATGGAATGCAAGATCTATTGTGCAGGTTGAGCTACATTAATATTTGCCAAATCCAGGCCGCACCCAAGGCTTTTGGGATAAATAACACTAGGTTTTTTTGCCCATGTTTTTCTCCTAACACCTTTCCCCCTCTTTTCTAGGTGGTCAAAACTGTACTTTGTCACCTGGTGGCTGATTTCCTCTGTCATCTGGGTCAACTTATTCATTGCCTTACTTCTGGAGGTAATGCTTGGCCTTCCATCCAAAGCCACAGACTTCGCTAACACAGGAAAGACTAATACTAAAAGACAGATACATCATTGCCTTACTTCTGGAGGTAATGCTTGGCTTTCCATCCAAAGCCACAGACTTCCATCCAAAGCCACAGGAAAGACTAATACTAAAAGACCGATACATCCTGGGGTTTTTACTGTTTTTACCTTTAAAAAAAACCCTGGGAGTCTTTGGTTTTTTTTTTTGGAGAAGCAGGCTTAGTAAAACTTAAGGTTACTAAGTTTGCTGAAAAATGTTGAAATTGAGGAAGCAGTTGTACCCGTGTCTTGTTGGCAGACTACCAATCTGATGGGTCACAGTGTGAACAGAACATTCAGTGAGACAGGCCTTTGGGACTGATCCACCAAGGTTCTTTAAATGTTTTTAATAGTGCAGCAGGGACAGCCTGCGGAGGTGTAAGATTTGCCTGCACACTTTCACAGACTGGAGGTTTCATTCTCCTCATCAAAAAACATGCATCTGTTTCACACTGTGGGTGCTACTGACAATTCTGAAGGATTGGAATTGAGCAGGAGGTTGGGCTTGATGTCCTTACAGGCCACTCCCAACACCACTATTCTATGATTTTGTGATCAGAACACAGGAAGGCAGCAGTGGCTATTTTTTATGATCATTCATCAACTGCACAAGGACTGTATTTCCAGAAAACAACATATTCATGTACGTATCTCAACATTAGATATGTGACTGCTGATGATGTTGCCTGGGTTACTGTCTGTCAAGAGACTGAATGGTTGGTTCACAGGTGATTTCTTGTGAGCATAGAAGGTAAGTCATGGAAATTCTTGCAGCAGCTCCTAAAAGATGATGTATCCTTATCATTCCCACTATGGCCCTCTTTTAGAGCAGGCTGCTTGGACTTCCATGGGTTGCCTTTCTGATGGCATGCCAGTCACCTGAGCAAGCTGCCCACCTGCACAGTCTTTTTATTTTCAGTAGGTGCAAATGAATATTGCAGAAAGATAATTAACACTACCAAAAATGCTATTCTTCTTCTCTTTTATTTGATTTACAGAATTTTATTCACAAGTGGGATCGTCGCTGCCATCGGCCATCTCTCTCAGAAGTTGAATACCAAATGACAATGGAACTCATGTTCAGGTACATGGAAGAGAGAGCATGGAAGGGGTGTGTTACTTCATCTTTTCCATGAAGAACAGAAAGGCATTGTGAGCACACTTGGGTGTCCTCTGGGCAATAGTGTGCAATCAGCAAATCCTTCACTTCAAAAGCATTTCACTAGAACTCTGAGCCCCTGCACAACACTGAAGTCAAGGAAAAGTTTCTGCACAAATCTAAAACTGACCACTTCTGGTCAAAAATAGTCTGAAAAATCAGAACATCCCAGAGGAAATAATATTAAATACATTGAATATAGAATACCAGGTTGCACAGTAACTAATTGTTTCTTCCTTGATTTAACTTAATGTGATAGCATCACATTAAACCACCCGGAATGATATAGGAGATAGACCCACAATACAGTGGTGCCCCGCATAGCAACGTTAATCCATTCCGGATTAATCGTCGCTATGAGGAAACATCGCTAAACGGAACGGAAAAAGCCATAGGAATGCATTAAACTTCGTTTAATGCGTTCCTATGGGGCCCAAACTCGCCGTTCAGCGAAGTTCCTCCATAGCGCCGCCATTTTCGTGTCCTTGCAAAAGCATTTCACTAGAACTCTGAGCCCCTACACAACACTGAAGTCAAGGAAAAGTTTCTGCACAAATCTGAAACTGACCACTTCTGGTCAAAAATAGTCTGGAAAATCAGAACATCCCAAAGGAAATAATATTAAATACATTGAATATAAAATACCAGGTTGCACAGTAACTAATTGTTTCTTCCTTGATTGAACTTAATGTGATAGCATCACATTAAACCACCTGGAATGATGTGGGAGATAGACCCACAATATTGTGTAGATGAAATATACAGTTTGGAAGCCAGTGAATGCTTGTGCCACTAATAAGAGGTTTCCATTGCAAATGATTTGAGTGGGGATAATCATGTTAGCCCATTGCAGCAGAGATTTGTTAATGCTAAATGTTGTTTCTGGAATACATGAACTAGATCTATATTTAGACATGAGAGTATCTTTCTTATATTAGAATCATTTAGCCAGCATGACTCATGGCTAAACTGGCTTGGCGATTCTGAGAGACATTGTCCAAAAAATAACTTCCTGAAGTTCTGGTATACAGATACCTGCTTCCTCCATTTCTAATTATTCCGTTTCTCTCTTTTGTAGGGATGTTTTGGAAGAACCTACAGAGGAAGAGCTGATTGCTGAACTCCATCACCATCCACACATGCATCTTTGTAGATGACACATGGGTGGTGAAACAGTTCGTCCTCATCGTACCTGCATGCAGGTTTTATAGTTGGAAGAAAAATATTAGGAATCTTTGATTTTACATTTGAATGTCCCTAATGTATAAGGTCTCAAAAGACTGTTATCTGAAAAACATTTTTTAAACTATAATTTTATTTTATTTTAAGTTGCCTTTTATGGGACTGCTGAACGGCCTCTTTAAAAACCTGGCGGGTTTATGTGAAAAAGCAACGAGGTACCTTTAAGAAAGGGAAATTAATGTTGCACTTTACAATGAACACTATGGAAGATGTACCTCCACCGCACTGGCTTGCTGCTAGCATTAAAAACAAAACACAAACTCTGTAAATAGATGCACTTCCTTCCTTCCTTCCATCCTTCGTTCCTTCCTTCCTTCCCCTTTTTTTGATGTACTAAGGACAGTGCCTTAATATTACAAAATTGTTCTGGAAAATTACTAAATTTGGGAATTGAGATGGGGCAATTAAAATGGTAATTCAGCGGCAATCTCATATGTCCTGAAGTAGCCGATCAATGATAAGATGAAGAATAGTACAGTGGCATTGATAACATTGTTCAGAATGTTAATAGCATTTGCATTCAGTGGGTCCTCACATCAACTATGCATTCTACTAAAGTTGTAGTGCAGGGGACTCAATCCAAATGGTGATTTTAGTGGGGGTGAGGTAGGGTGGGAGCTTTCTCTCTTTCTCCTCTTTGCCCATAATGTATCTCACTGGAAAGTTATATGTGAACTCAAATTGATCCCTTTTTGACATAATAGATTATAACTGTAGGACACTGACTAATGTGAGTACCACATCAGAAGGCTAAACCCCCCACATCCCTGAATCCCTAGTGTTTATGTTGGAACAAGGACAGGCTAAGTGTGTCCCTCCTGTTACTCTAGGACAGCAGCTCCCACCCTGGCGAACACGGACAATGGTGAATCCTGGGAGGTTGAGTCCAGCGACACCTGGATGCCTGCAGTTTGCCCAACCCTGAATTAGAATAAAAATGTGTAAAATAAAAAATACAGGTGCCTTTGTAGTAGGATATGCTTTTGCCCTGTCCTTGAGGCCACTGTAAAGGAAGTGGTTTAGGAATAGCAGACCTGCTGCATCTTCTCCTTTCATTTAGACAAATGTTCATACTTCCTGCCCAACAGCTGGGTTTGATTGATGGTGCCTCCCATATCTCACAATATTCATATATGTCTTAATGCAGTCCAGGCGATAAGGTCCGTTAAAGCTGCCTTCCATGCACAAATGCTACTGCTGGTTTGAGACCCATGTTTGTGAACTGTGTTTATGCCTCCCGGGAACATTTATCCTGTGTTGCAGCACTTCTGCCTTTCTGTAAAAGGAGAAAACATGGCCCTAATTACCTGCTTTTAGGCCCCTGCTTTGCAGAGCATGCATGACTCTACGTGGGTCACGGCCATTATGGTTTCTGTAGAGCAAACAGGAAATAAGAAGGAGTACCTTGTTGCTTTTAATGAGTTTTTTCTTCTCAGCTGTCCATATGAACTTTACAAAAATTATGACGTTATGCCTTCAATGGCCAAAACATTGTATGTTGCTTTCATGTTCTGATTCTGTCTTATGGTATCTCTACAAGATTAAGGAATGTAAGTCCTTGAAAATGTCTAAAACTGTAATTGTGATTAGTGACCCTGCAGGGCTTCACTTGTCACCCTCTTGCCAATCTAGAGGCCAAAGACAGAGAAAACAAAACACACAGACAACAGGAGATGCTGGCCTGCCACACAATAGCCTGTCTTCCTCTACACAGTCCACTGGATCACACATTTATCAAAAGAATGAAAATGAGATGGTGTGTGTGACCGGGAGGACAAATTCTGGGTTGAATAATGTTACTGGATCCACAAAACCTTACAGACAAGACAAGCCTTCAAGTCCTTTGGGATTATATGGTGAAAAGATTTGGATTGTCCTCTACATGTTATACCATCAGAGCCTACTTTTTTGATACATTTTTAGTGATCCAATAAAAATATTAGCACCAAATTTTGTTTTGACTCAAGGATCACATGGCTACTTTCCCCTTTTTGATTTTTGGGAGAATTTAGATTACTCCTATGTTGGCCTCAGTAAATATGTTTGGTGTAGCCTACATTGTTTTATGACATGATGGAATCCTTCTTGGCCTGTATCACTGTAGGTGACACTTTGGAATGCTCTCACCCACTCCCTAATTCCTGAACAAAACAAGCTAGCATACAATGGATAATGTATCCACTCTAGCCTTCTCTCTGACATGCTAATTGTGTGTACCTGATTCTTAATTTATAAAAAGCCTACAGCAAGGTTGGCATTGTCTTCTATATGTACACCTCTATAATGGACAGGAAATTGGCCACAGTGTTTCTTAGTTTAATTTGATTCTGAATACTTTTGGGTTGTCAGAAATGACTGTTATGAACTTGATTCTTTACTTGAATCTTTCACCCTCGTTTAAGTAAAATTAAGTAAAATTAGCCTGGGGCTCCAAAATATTTCTCCAATGTTCTCTAAAACATATGTGACTTTTATTTATTTTATTATATTTTTGCAGTGCTGCCATTTGGCCTTTACAGTGCGCCCAGTTTACCAGTGCAATATAATTCCATTTCCTCGTGCTCTGGGATCTTTTTATAGCAAAACCACTAAAACAGTACAGTATACATTTTATTGCTATTTCTTTGCCTTAAATTGAATGTGTTCCATAAAATGTACTGTAAATGTATCCGTACAAGCCATTTGTATGTAATCACTGTTGCTACAGTAAAATATTTTTGAGACAGCTGGAGTCTTCTTATTTATCTTGTGTGTGTCTTTGTTTACAACCAGGGACATCTTCTGTGGTTAACCCAATATTCAGATGATGTACTAGAGTTTGGAGAGGCAGTGAGGTGTAGGGATTAGTGTGTTGGCACTTGAGAAATCCAAATTCAAGTGCCCATGAGCCAGAAAACATACGGGGCACCTCGGGCAAGTCACTGTCTTTCAGCCTGATCTACCACATTGGATGGACTTTCACTGTGAATTGGCCTTGATAAGCAAAGCGTGCTGCAGTTTGGTGCTTTTCCCCCCCCAGTGCAGTCTACAGGATCTTTATGCAACAAAATCAAATGACTGAAAATGGATGTTTGAAGCTCTGAAGAGGTAATTGTAAATGTTACACTTAATATATATAGAAAGCAAAATATTATATATCTCCCCTCCACCACTTTGGTTTATTCAGTGCATCCACAATGTAATCTGCAAAACTGTTTGATCCCGATGGGCTTTCTAGATAGCCCTCTTTCAGGGGAGCTTGGTTTCAAGAAAATAATTTTCTTTTAGTGTGCAGTCTGTAATATGCATATGGCTGTTACAAATTACAGGGGTACTTAATATTTATTAGTTTGGGAACTAGCTAGCTGGATAGTTCAGTGAGTTACATCTATCAGCGAAGCCAGAGGATGAGAGTTCAGTTCCCTATTATGCCTTCATTGAGAAGGGCCGGCTTCTGTGGCCATTCATACTTGTTGAAAAACAGCCCTGACAATTGCTTTGTGTTTGGGTAATAAGTGGTTAACGGATGAAAAAAGGAGTCAACTTCTGGGACTTCTCCTTGTGTGGTGTCATTTTGTGAATGGAAGTGAGCATATCCTGTAGACCATCTTGACGGCTTCCATTGTGTTGTCAGCATTTGGTCTGCTCTTTGCTGTGTAAAGCTTGGCATTCTTTTTTCCTGCCGGCAACACAGGGACAATATTTTCAGCAATACAGTGGTGCCTCGCAAGACGAATGCTTCGCAGGATGAAAAAAACGCAAGATGAATGTTTTTTTCAATCGCTACGGTGCCTCGCAAGATGGCTTCTTCTATGGATGTGCTTCGCAAGACAATTTCCCCCCAAGACCAATGCCTCGCAAGACAAAATTTTCATTCGTCTTCGAGGTTCCCATTGGAATGCATTACAATGCATTCCTATGGGAAGCTGCTTTTTGCAAGACAATTTTTTTCCTGCAAGACAGCAGTTCTCGTGGAACAAATTACATTTGTCTTGCGAGGCACTGCTGTATTGGGCCAGTTCCTGGCTTCGTGAATTGTGGGTACAGACGCAGAATATTCCATATTCATAAACGAGGTTTTTGAAGAACTGAATACAACATACCAGTGTGCCCTCTTGTGGTCTTTGTTCCCCCCTCTTGTATGTTGTATTTAGAGTTCCCTTGTATCCATGGTTTCAGGTATCCATGGTAGATCACGGAACCATCCATTAAAAGTGCTGGTCTTCATCTTGCAAGTCCTTAATGGGTGGACCAGAGTACCCCTCGTACTTTGTGCCTGTGTCCACACAAGATGTTCTGATCACTAAACAAAAGCCCTGCTCGGATGAGGCTGCCACACTCAAATAAGATGGGTGGTGAGCAAGGGCAGGACCTTTTCCTTTTTAGGATAATGGTTCTCACCCTTTTATCTTCTTTAGACTTTAGTTCCCACAATGTTTGGCTGGGGCATCTGGTCGTCAAAATCTGAAACATTGGAGTTGCAGAGATTGAGAAACATTGCATTAGGGCCTCTCAGCTTTCCTACTCAGAAGCAAGTCTTTTATTTTGGGGAGAGTGTGTGTCAGGGTGCAGCCCCCAAATAGTTGATACATGTTTGTTTTGTTTTTCAGGCCTAGATCCAAACAGTAGATATATTAAAGCAAAAAGAATTATGTTTAGTGGCTGAGTCAATGGTCCACTCTAGTTGGAATTTGCAGCTATGTTTAGACCAATTGTTCTTTCAGTTGCTCTCATTTTATTGTGACATTATATATTTGGGCAAGTTGCATGGTCCCAGAGCACCATGAGAGGGAGCATCCCAATCCCAAAGAAGGGCAGTGCCAAAGAATGCTCCAACTACCGTACGATTGCACTCATTTCACACGCTAGCAAGGTTATGCTCAAAATCCTCCAAAGTAGGCTTCAGCAGTATGTGGACCGAGAATTGCCAGAAGTACAAGCTGGATTTCAAAGGGGCAGAGGAACTCAAGACCAAATTTCTAGCATGCGCTGGATTATGGAGAAAGCCAGATAGTTCCAGAAAAACATCTACTTCTGCTTCATTGACTATGCAAAAGCCTTTGACTGCGTGGACCACAGCAAACTATGGCAAGTAAAGAAATGGGAGTGCCTGACCACCTTATCTACCTCCTGAGAAACCTATATGTGGGACAGGAAGCAACAGTTAGAACTGGCTATGGAAAAACTGATTGGTTCAAAATTGATAAAGGAGCACGACAAGGCAGTATATTGTCCCCGTGCTTATTTAACTTATATGCAGAATACATCATGCAAAAGGCTGGCCTGGAAGAATCCCAAACCGTAATTAAGATTCCCGGAAGAAATATCAACAACCTCCGATATGCAGATGATATCACTCTGATGGCAGAAAGTGAGGATGAATTAAAGAACCTCTTAATGAGGGTGAAAGAGGAGAGCGCAACAAATGGTTTGAAGCGCAAGATTAAAAAAAAACTAAGATCATGGCCACTGGTCCCATCACCTGCTGGCAGATAGAAGGGGAATATATGGAGGCAGTGACAGATTTTACTTTCTTGGGTTCCATGATCACTGGATGACAGCAGCCATGAAATTAAAAGATGCCTGCTTCCTGGAAGGAAAGCAATGACAAACCTAGACAGCATCTTAAAAAGCAGAGACATCACCTTGCTGACTGTGGAGGACAGCCCACACGTCACTCCTGACAGTCATTTTAGAGCTCTAGTGCAGGAGTCTATGACAGGAGAGGAGGGGCGGAGTCAAGAGGGTCAGTTAGAGAGAAAGGATTGTGAAGTGTTTAGACAAGCTATTGGAAAGTTGCTGTGTTAGAGAATATAAAAGAGTTAAAAGTAATAAGAAATACATATACCACCTAGAGTGGTCACAATTGACCAGATAGGCGGGGTATGTATGTATGTATGTATGTATGTATGTATGTATGTATGTATGTATGTATGTATGTATGTATGTATGTATGTATGTATGTATGTATGTATGTATGTATGTATGTATGAATAAA